CACATCAGTCCCTAACCCTCAAGGGGTGTACAATCTAAGGTCCCTAACTCACATTCATATATACACATATTAGGGCCAATTTAGAAAGGATCCAATTAACCTACCAGCATTTCTTTGGAGTGTGGGAGGAAACCGGAGCACCCGGAGGAAACCCACACAAGCACAGGGAGAACATGCAAACTCCATGCAGGAGGCGCCATGGTCGGGAATCGAACCCATGACCCATTTACTGCAAGGCAGACGTGCTAACCACTAAGCCACTGTGCTGCCCAATGAATGGGCGTTCAAGCCAATGGTGAAACCCTCAAATGGCTAGATTGCCCCCTCACCTCCTTACTGCGACCCACTGGGCCAGAGCGCCTTTCTAATCACACCAGGATCCTTCACAGGCAGTAACTCGTCACTGGATGGTATCCATAGGAAATTCCCATCAATGGTGGCACTTACACATCTCAGGTTCCCTCCAGATACAGGTAGCCGCAATATAGCTCACTCTCTCATAAGGATCATAATAATAGAAAAGAAAGATCCTCCATAGTGTAATTTGGTTTATTACATCAATAAAGCACAAAAACCACCAACTGCCCACTCACTTGTTGCCAGAAAAACATTAGCTTTCAAACCACATGCTATGGGTGTACCTCTGCGTGGGTTTCAGGTGTGCCAAGATGGAGTCCACGCCGGAAATACGTCACCGCGTACCTACGCGTTGCGTCACGTGTCTTCCTCAAGGTAAACGCCATTGGTGACAAGCTCTCATCTTTATAGGAGGCCAGATGTCAATCTTAATCCAGAGGCGGACCTCCAGCGGCCATTTTCTTGAGGTCCGATGCTTCCTACACTATTAACTCTGCATCGCCATAACATAATTACTCGGCGGTTTAAAATTAATATTCTGCATCCTGTACCAATGAAAGTAAATTGATGATTCCTGGTGATACCGCCCTATTAACTGCAAGTGTTTATGTCTAAAAGACTATATACAATATTGGCTCTTATGACAATACCAAAAAAATGGGTGGCCATTAAGGTGTAGCCTAATCAATTCCAAAAGCCACCTATGCTATATAAACTAAAACATATTCAAATATTACCTTTATTAGAAATAATTAAAATAGATTTATAAAACAAAAACAAAATTAAAATGATAAAAAGTGAAAATAAATTATGAAAAACCAACAAAGGACCCTATCACTACCTAATGGGAGCCATTACTAATAATATATCTAATAATATTAATGAGGGTGAAATATTAATTCTAAGAGTAGAAATATAAAAAAATGATTTTGTAAAAAATACAATTATGTATTTTATTTATATATTTCATATGGTAAATATATCAATTTATTATTATTGTATGGAACATTACAGTATCTATTGATTTTTTTAAATATATGTTTTATGTCATGTGATTATATACACCAATGGCATGGGTGTGTCTGCATGGATAGGGCTAATTGTATTTTTGGATTTTTTACAAAATAATTTTTTAATATTATTATTAAATTAGGGTCATTTGTTGGTTTTTCATAATTATTTTCACTTATAATTTTAATTTTATTTTTGTTTTATAAATCTATTTTTGTAGCGTATTTTAATTATTTCTAATAAAAGTGATTATTATGATCCTTATGAGAGAGTGAGCTATATTGCGGCTACCTGTATCTGGAGGGGACCTGAGATGTGTAAGTGCCACCATTGATAGGAATTTCCTATGGATACAATCCAGTGACGAGTTACTGCCCGTGAAGGATCCTGGTGTGATCCTAAAGGTGCGCTGGCCCAATGGGTCGCAGTAAGGAGGTGAGGGGGGGCAATCTAGCCATTTGAGGATTTCACCATTGTCTTGAATGCTCATTCATCACATCACCTTCATGAATTTGTTTCATTGGATCACTTTTTGCTATTTGCACAATTTTTTGGGCTTTTTGTGTATTTGTCATTATTTATAATTGACATATATTTCACTTTATTTATTCATATTGGAGCATTGTTTTTTGTATTTGTATATGACTTTGATTGAGTGATTTTATATGTTTTTGGGGTATTTAAACACCTATCACTTTAATTATGTGGATTATCCCCCTTTTGTTGGGGAGTCACTGTCAATTGCACTAGTTCATATTACATTGATTTATTGATCCCAATTTAGGGATTTGGGGTTTTTTGTTGGTGTCATTTGGATTTTTTCACCTTATTGTGTCCTAAGTGGGAAGAATGCCTCTGTTTACAGAAGTGGCAAGAATGACAACTTTGCGGTTGTGCCACTGACTCTGCCAAGTGGGGTTGGACCATGAACTATGCAGGTGCCATCAGAATGGAGGTCACTTAGCGAAAGCTTGAGGAACCCCTAGCCACCCCTGGAGGAACCCTAGTTGAGAATGGCTGATCTACTCAATTGTAAATATTTTGCCTACTCGACACCTTTAAATAGCCCTTTAGTGAGAGTTTTGTTTCCATCATTTGAGTGGTGTTTGGGAGAATGCTAAAGAGGGATGGGATTTCATTAGCAAATGCATTGCCCGGCTTTGATGTAGACCACCTTTTAATGTCAGGAAGATTATTCGGAACCAAATCAATCCCTATTAACCTGGCTAGATCAAAGGAAGGAAAACACACAGTTTCCAGGATAAACAGCCAAAGAACGTGAACGCCAGTGAATATTATAGAGATATTACCACCGTGCCTGCCATGTATTAGTGACATTACCAGCCACTGGAGTGGTTAGAAGAGAGGATCTGAACACAACTAATGTTTGCTATTTGATCTCGATTCTGCTTTTTTGGCTTTGAATATATAATACAAATGCAGATCTATCACATTAAAATTCCATAGCTAAAAGCCAGAGGCCTGATGCAAGCTGTATCAGCAGGGACCAGGCTGGAGGGTGCAGCTAGTCAGTCAATGGAAGGTAATAATAAGGGAACATATTACTGCCTACAGTGTACCTGTAAGTAGTCCACCTAATAATTAGCTGCAGCCCTAAATGGCCGATCATACAAGTTGCCTGCAATACTACTTGTAAGCACCCCGGGTGTTCCTCAAGCACAAGCATGCATTATTGGGTCTTTTTAAAACAAATTTTTTTTAGGACTTCCTTCCCCCCTGAATAAATATATACACACACATTGTATTTACGCAGATATACACACACACATTTATTGCCGGTCTCTGCTTAGCCTCTGTACGCTCCATCGCTGTCCCCCAAATTCTCCTCGGTCCAGGGCCAATGGTCCTCTTTGGGCAGAACAACACTTGCATCATTCTTCCCATTTCCTTTGAGCCCAGCCTGTTTACATGACCACCTAGGCAGAGGTGGTCAACTTTCAAGGCAAAGGGGGCCTCGAATGTCACCCCTAATGTCTCCAAAGGGCCACATTTAATTTTTATTACATGTAATGCTACAGAACACTATCATAAACTTAAGAACTACAAGAGGAAATAGTCACACATCGTTCTACATTAGTAGTTGGAGACTGAAGTCATGTTATAGCATAGCATCAGAAACTAGGGACATGTTGCATGAAACTGCTGGACTTAAGGGACCCTTTACAAATTAATGTCACCTCCACTGACTGCTGGGGCTCAAGGGACAAGGGAGTCCACTGGTGTTGGACTTAAGGGACCCTTTACTAACCAATGCCACCTCTACAGACTGCTGGGGCCCAAGGGCCTCACTACAAACACCGAATTGCCACATGTGGCCCTTAGGCTGCAGGTTGGGCATCAAGGCCCTAGGGGGTGCATTATCTTTGAATGGAGGGGATAGACCTTTCAGTCATCTGGCTGTTCATCATTCATAGATCCTGTTTCATTCACAGAAGCTGTAGTACAGCTTCTATGAATGGAAAAAGCAGGGTGGACATAGTTGGGCCCACTTGAGAGCCCCTCAGCTGCACTGCACTGGAGGATTGTGGTGGCAGTAGTATTTTTTTTGAAGGGGGGGTGGAGTATAAGTAATGACCCATGCTCTACTTTTTTCTCTTAAGCTTTAAAGACACTTCACCATGTTTTAGAATTTCAACCTGTAGACTACAGAATTTTAAAGATCTGGGAAAATGGCTGCCAAAGTTTGAAAAACCTCTTTAAATGTCTTTGTAAATAGGCCCCATGGTCATTAGGTGGAAGGTAAAAGGGAGCCATGATTCTCCTCAGCTGGCAGCTTTTTGTGAACGTTCTGTCAGACTGTGTGCTTGGACAGCATGTGGGAGCCGTATATGCCGAGATCGCCAAAAGCTCCGGCTGTGAATTATTGCGGCAGCGGAGTCCAAATCTGCTTCTCTCTGTAGGGGATGGAGGTGCCGGAGGACGTGCTTTCTACATCAAAACAATGTGTTCTGGTACAAATCATTTGGTATCGGTTTACAGATATTCTCCTAGATTGTAAGCTCAAAAGAGCAGGGCCCTCGATCCCCTCATGTTTTGCATTGTATTGTTATTGTTCTGTCACATGTTCTGTCCCCCTTTGTAATGTACAGCGCTGAGCGAACTATTGGCGCTTTATAAATACTGTATAATAATAATAGATATTCATAAAAAGGCAGAACTATGCACGTGCTGCTACTGGTTTATTTCCAAAAACATACTTTCTTTTTCTTCGTTTCAAGATTGGTGATGCAACTGAATACTCATCAGGTTAAAAAAAATCCAGCACAATGGAAATGCCAAATATTTTAATGAGGCAGAGCTGAAAATCATTATCGTAGAACTAGAAGGTATTTCCCACAAGTACACATTTGTTGTAACCTTTAACTGTAATTTTTGATGAAATATTAACATTTCTATTTATTTTTAGCTTGATCAGGTGAGAAAATCATGTATGTGGCATCTTGACTGTACCTTAAATCAAACAGCTTATGGCAAAGGGATTGCACTACTAGTGTTCCCAAGAGATATAGGAAGCCAATCAACCCAAACTATTACTTAAAGGCCAACTTCACCTTTACAGAAAAAAAAAGAAAAATAGTCCAGCTTTTGCTACAATATTCATCCCCCAACCTGTGCATTCTACCCACTGACCACCAATCTAAGGGGCATTGTTCCCAATGACCACCAATCTAAGGGGCATTCTTCCCAATGACCACCAATGTAAGTGGCGTTCTTCTCACTAATCCCCAATGTAAGGGGCGTTCTTGACACTGATCCCCACTGTAAGGGGCATTCTTGCCACTGATCCCAAATGTAAGGGCATTCTTCCCACTGATCACCAATGTAAGACGCATTCTTCTCACTGATCCCCAAATGTAAGGGGCATTCTTCCCACTGATCACCAATGTAAGGGACATTCTTCCCACTGATCCTCAATGTAAGGGACATTCTTCCTACTTATCCCCAATGTAAGGGGCTGCCATTGATCCCCAATGTAAGGTGCGTTCTTGCCATTGATCCCCAATGTAAGGTGCGTTCTTGCCATTGATCCCCAATGTAAGGTGCGTTCTTGCCATTGATCCCCAATGTAAGGGGTATTCTTGCCATTGATCCCCAATGTAAGGGGAATTCTTCCCACTGATCCCCAATGTAAGGGGTATTCTTCCAACTGATCCCCAACGTAAGGGGCATTCTTCCCACTGATCACCAATGTAAGGGGCATGCTTCCCACTGATCCCCAATGTAAGAGGCATGCTTCCCACTGATCCCCAATGTAAGGGGAATGCTTCCCCACTGATCCCCAATGTAAGGGGAATGCTTCCCCACTGATCCCCAATGTAAGGGGCATGCTTCCCCACTGATCCCCAATGTAAGGGGCATGCTTCCCACTGATCCCCAATGTAAGGGGCATGCTTCCCACTGATCCCCAATGTAAGGGGCATGCTTCCCACTGATCCCCAATGTAAGGGGCATGCTTCCCACTGATCCCCAATGTAAGGGGCATGCTTCCCATTGATCCCCAATGTAAGGGGCATGCTTCCCATTGATCCCCACACTGTAAGGGGCACTCTTGAATTTGATCACCAATGCAAGGGGCAATTTTCCCTGGCCTCCAATGAAAGAAGGGTATTCTCCCTTGACCATTATTGTAAGGAGGGCCACCAGTGTAAGGGAGGCATTTTTCCCTGACCACTAACATGATGTGGGTATTGTTCCCACTAAGCCCTGAAAAATTAATTTTAGCAGGGGAGCCCTAAAAATTATTTCAAGGGCTCAGTTGGGGTAAAAAGGTTAAGAAAGTACGTTATAATCCAACAAACCTGGTCAGACGCACCCCTCCCTTTTTCTTATGCCATTACTCATATATGCCAACATAAAGCATTGGTGTGGAAGTGCAGAAAGTGCAATGTTCCAATTAAAGTGAAAAAATGGTGTAAGACTTCCGTTGGCCTTTAAGGGGACGGTACGAAGCCCCGCAATTTGATGAGTTCACTAAGTGGAAAAACTAGTCGGTGCTCCGGCAATGGCTGCTGCTAGATAAGCTTTCTGCTTGATACGGATACCCCATCCTGAGCCTTTGATGTGAGTCTGGCAGGCGGGAAGAGCACAGTGGAGTTCACAGGCTGATCCAAGCACTTATCTAGCTGCTTTCCTAGCGTTTTATTTAAAGCAGAGTCAAGGCTTGAGCTCAGATTTTCTCCCTTTACTCTAAATTTCACTGGCTTTCAGAAGCTTTGACAGCATGACCTGACGATGGAAAAAAAAAAATGTTGTGATCCAGAGTGCTGGAGGGGAATTATTTTAATGCAATGTGCAAAGTGAAAACACTCATGAACCTTTAGCTTTCATTAGCAAAGATAATGGTGAAAGGTATGCTCCCTTTTTCAGAATTGTGTGCTTAAAGTGCCCCTGTATCAAGAATACAGGCATTGAAGATGATCTACTGGTTTAGGGATGAGAAGAATCATGTAAATCCTGAGGCTTATGCAGTTTCTGGATGTGTCCCCACAAATATCTGACACATATCAGCCCCTGACTGCAGACTCTCACTTTCTGACTTCCTATAAAGTTACAATGTCACAGTCTGATCACTGGGAGAAGGAAGAGTGAGAAAATGCTTCCTCCTGTCTGCAGCAGACTGCCAACACCATCCCTGCTAAGGCAAAGGCATTGAACTGGCACTCAAGGACTGCGTTTTTTTTTTTTTAGTTTTTGTGAAAAATGATTTCTATTTCTCTGTATTGATGTGTTAGGAATGTATTCATATAGACAAGTAAGATTACTTAAAGGTTACATTAAAGCCTGTGTTCAGGGCTGGCCACACTGCTGGGGGTTTCAGTGCAGCAGACTTACACTTTAATAATACAAGGTGTAGTCATGGCAAAGCAGAAGCTGTCCAGATACTCTCTCTAACTGGAACGCCACAAAATTATTTTCAGCAAAGGTAGGCTCCAGTTCCTATTGTCCGATTACAATGAAGCCGGCTACTCGGTAACATCCACCACAACAATTCTTTATTGGCTACATAGAAGGATACAGTAGTAACTTTCTAACGCATTTCAGACTAAGGACGAAATGCATTAGCAAGGGAATACTGGATCCTGCTATGCAGCCAATAAAGAATTGTTACATGGGGTATTACTGAGCAGCCGGCTTCATTATTTATTTATTTAAGGTACTTTTATAGCGCCGTCAATTTACACAGCACTTTACTTATATATTGTACATTCACATCAGTCCCTAACCCTCAAGGGGTGTACAATTTAAGGTCCCTAACTCACATTCATATATACGCATACTAGGGCAATTTAGACAGGAGCCAATACACCTACCAGCATGTCTTTGGAGTGTGGGAGGAAACCGGAGCACCCGGAGGAAACCCACGCAGGCACAGGAAGAACATGCAAACTCCAGGCAGGTGGTGCCATGGTGGGGATTCGAACCAACGACCCTAGTACTGCCAGGCGGAAGTGCTAACCATTTAGCCACCGTGCTGCCCATTGTATCAGAGGATTATTGTTACACTTCAAAGGCCAGAGCACAGGTTCCCGGCCTCCCAGGTAAATTGTGGTGGAGCATGCTTTCTTTGTTGGACTATGGAGTCACTATTGAGCTCTGTAAACAACAGTTGTTTTCAAAAGAGGCAAAAGTATTGACGGATAAACCTAGAGCCCCATCTGATGGCTGGAAATAAAAAATGAAATATTTTTGTGCCAACATTTCATATCCAACAGGAAAAAAAATTAAAAATATATATTTTGGAACCTTTTATGTGTTAGGACTGCAAATGTACATGAAACCAGTATACAATAGTCTTTTCTGCACTCTGAACTGCAACAGCTGCAGCACCAAAAACCAAAAAAAAAAGCGACATAAACCCGAAACCCAGATTGGATTTTATCGACGCTGCAGGTCTCCAATGAGAGTAAAGATGATGGTCTTTAAAATGCCATCTGCCTTTTATTAGTGTCTATCACAGACATCTGAACCCCGGCCAGGCATCTGTTTCCTGACACTTTCTCAAAATTGTTGTAACTGGACCTGCATGAACCTGTCTTTCAGAAGGATCACAAAAGAAAAAAAAAATTAATTAGGGAATTTCATGAATTAAAGGCCCAGTATAGGGAAATAATTGCATTCTTGTAATTGTATGGGGGGTAATAGTGTACATGTAATGATAGTATTCAATATATATCAAAATCTTTTTTTTTTTTTTTTTCACATTCCTTTATTTATATTTTTCTTCACATGTAGTTCACACTTGTTCATTGCCTAAAAAGCTTTGGTTGTAAATCCCATTTCAGAATGTCGTTAAGCAACCGCTATCAGGCATTTAGGAGCCGATCCTGTCGCCTCCTGAAAACTTTTTTTTTTTTTTTTAAACTTTTCTTTGCCTCTTTTACGCATTTGGCTTGTCAATGCTGCGCAAGACCATTAACGTGAATGAAGGAGGCACTGCCTCTCAAATCGATATGTCGCAAAGCAATCTGGCTTGCAGTTGCGGTGCAACACCATGGACTTGAGTGGGCTAGTTTGAAAAGAGGTGTAGCCTCTCAACCTAATATGTTGCAAAGCGTTTGGCTCGTGGTTGTGGCCTGACCCCACTGACTAAAATGGGCAAGTTTGAATGGAGGTGCCTGTCAACACAACATGCCACAAAGCAGCTGGCTCCTGGTTTTGGCGTGACCCTATTGATTTGAATGGGCAAATTTGAAAGGAAGTGTCACCCCTCAACGCAATATGCCACAAAGCATTTGGCTTGTGGTTGCGGCGTCACCCCATTGACTTGAATGGGCTAGTTTAAAAGAGGCGTCGCCTCTCAACCTGACATGCTGCAAAGAATTTTGCTCATAGTTATGGCCTGACCACACTGACTTGAATGGGCAAGTTTGAAAGGAGGTGCCAACTGTCAACTCAACATGCTGCAAAGCATTTGGTTCGTGGTTGTGGCCCAATCCCAATGACCTGAATGGATAAGTTTGAGGTGCCGCTTGTCAACACATGCCGCAAAGCATTTGGCTTGCGGTTGTGGCGCAACCCCATTGTCTTAAATTGGCTAGTTTGAAAAAAGGTGTCGCCTCTCAACCTGACATGCTGCAAAGAATTTTGCTCATAGTTGTGGCCTGACCAGACTGACTTGAATGGGCAAGTTTGAAAGGAGGTGCCAACTGTCAACTCAACATGCCGCAAACGATTTGGCTTGCGTTGTGGCGCCACCCCATTGACTTGAATGGGCTAGTTTGAAAAGAGGTGTTGCCTCTCAACCTGACATGTCGCAAAGCATTTGGCTCATAGCTGTGGCCTGACCACACTGACTTAAATGGGCAAGTTTGAAAGGAGGTGCGAACTGTCAACTCAACATGCTGCAAAGCATTTGGCTTGAGGTTGTGGCAAAACCCTATTGACTTCAATGGGCGAGTTTGAAAAGAGGTGTCGCCTCTCAATGTGTCACATTACAAAGCATTTTGCTTGTGGTTGCAGTGTGTCCCCATAGACTTGAATGCGTGAGTTTGAGCTGATACATACACACCAACAAGCACAGGGTTTCACAAAGCTCCTCCTTTTTAACTTACATCAATATTTGTCATTTGGGGCATTGTGGCAGAAAAATACAATGAGCTGGGTAATCAAGATAGGGGAAATAAAAGTGATTTGTGTGGTAATTGGAACAGTGAGGAAGCAGCAGGCAAGGGAGATGTGATCAATAAATTAGATCATGTAATTGCTTCAGAATTAGGTTAAAACAGTGATAGGATTGTGCCTGGTATTTGGCTGCAGCTGATAGATCCACACATGCTGCAAATTAAATGGATGTCCAAATTACATCTCCTTAAAACGGACCTGTTAGGATGAGGCATAAAAACTGTCTTTGCTGAAGCAATCTGAGGTCACCTGATCATTGCCAAGGCACTTTTTGGAAAAAAAAAGGCACTTTATCCAAAACGCTGATGTTAGTCTTGGTGCCCTGATGTATATTATTATTACACAGGATTTATATAGCGCCAACAGTTTGCTCAGCTCTTTACAATATAACGGGAGACAATACAGCAAGGATAAAGTTCAATACAAGAGGTAAAAGAGGGCCTTGCTCCTTTGATAGGTCATTATGACTTTGCATGTGAATTGCTCTGTCAGATCTCAGATCCTTAAAGGGCCACACAGGAATTGCCAATGGGGCAAAGGTTGAGAAGAAGGGCATTAATGAATACAGAGAAGCATTAATCTGCACCTTTTAGATCTGCCTGGGTTCCAGCTTTAATTGAGAACAGAAATATATATTGTTTTAATGTCATATGTTCATAAATGACTTGGTTTAAACCTTTAATATCTGCAAAATTAAATTAAATAGGACATTGGATTTCTTTGAAAGCATTTTTGCAAAACAACATCTGCATGGCAACCTAATTCACTGTCGTAGCAAATCCGGTAACTGCGGAGAGACATGTTCGATCGTAAGTCTCTGAAATCACCGCCAGTAAACTTTGAAGTTATGGTGATGCAAATACCAAGCATAATCTTTTAATACTGA